GATAAATTCATAAATTACAATGAAAGTTATTGGCAATCATTGACAATGCATGTCATGCACTTTGCATGAGTATGGGAATTTTGATTCAAGAGCGACGCAATTTTAAGAAATGAAAAATTAACAATCAACTAGTTATTAAAAAATATATCTTCTGTATATAGCTAAATAGTATATTGCACTTATAGTCATAATTAAATTTGGAGATAAAACATAGACAAGTGTGAAAACTAATGGAGAATTTTGTCTCTCCCCAAATATTGAACATATTGCGAATATGGACATGACACACCCACACTACCACCTAACTATTCCTGTATGCGTACCTATACGTTTTGTCAATATAGTTTGTTTTATGTATATGTATTGATGTCCAAGACAAGATCTCAATTTTTTATGTAAGTGATTAAATATGTATATGTACTTGGAAATAGAATCTCGGGAAAAATACTGAATATGCGAATTACTAGAACATAACAGAAAGTTGTATCTGATGAAGTAGGATTTATTATGGAGAATTATGTTGAAATATGATACGCTTATGACAGATGATAATGCAAGATAAGAGGGACGCCTCGAAGATGAATAACAACAATAGTTGCAAATCAGCTGTCAAGCCATGGCGTATGAATAAGTGTAAAGATGTTATTTTGTTATTGTCACGTAGTAAATGTGATGCGTGAAGAGAGAGAGATATAATGACGTGAAGGCACTCGAAAGTGCAAATTGATGTATTCGTTTCAAAGTGAGACGATAGATGCATGAAATGATATGTTTTTCTCGCGATATGAAGAGAAATAGGGACAATAAAGCAAATTGTCAGATTAGAAGAAATAATGGCAGATACAAAGTTAATGATATTCAGGATGTACGAGATGAAGTTTCCACAAAATACCTAGATATTCATCATTTATGTAATTCAATGCTCGTCGTAGGTATTAGCCAGGAGTGTAGTTGTTTTATGATGAATATCATACAGGAAGATTTGTTTTTTTTTCGGTGACAAACCATTTATATTATTAGAAAACAAAAAAAATTAGTAACATTGAGATAACATAGGAATGAGAATTAATTGAATAAATGAAACATTGAAATGAAAATCAAGGATACGGGTGTGTCATTCCTATTTCAAATCGAGGAAGAATCAATTTCCTACAATTCAAGGAGAAATTTAAGATAAAACAAACAATTCCATATATCTATAGTAGAAAAGAGATTCTTGGAAAAGTGATAGCAGTATATAGGTACATCTTTTTCATGAACTAACTTAGGTAGTTTTGTTTTTAGAGATCGCTAATCGATAAAGTTATATCACCAATATTCAATTATTTTATAACTAGTTAGGTAGTTTTATATGTATTCTTGTGTATGAACTTACTGCCGATATTTTTTCTATCTTGTTACATGTGAAACGAAGAACCACACTTGATGGCACCACTCAGATGCAGCCCAAGAAGTCGACCTGAACCACAAACAGTCATAGGTCCATATACCACGTCAAAGGTGTTTTGGTCCATGAGAAGTTCCATCGTTCCTGGAGTCATCTAGTAGATGAAATTCGAATGGTAGAGAGCCCTGGAAAATTGGAAAATTCAGTTATCACGAAATGAATAAGCCGAGTCGATATATCGCAACTATAGGATGCATGCCCCAAGCAACTTACTTTGTATCCCGCCTGATGTGCCTCGAAATGGTAGATACGCTGCCCCGTGAAAAGCTGCCCAATTCGCACGACGATATGCTTTTCCGACGCTACGGGAACCCAGGAAGCTGCCAAAATCCACGAAACCTAGACGAAATTTCCACGAGGTTGAGATGGAAAGGTGCAGAATAGACAAAACTTACCAGAGCCCCGACTACAGGAAGTCAATACAGTAACCAAAGTAATGTCTATATTCCCAAGCAATTAAGTTCGCACTACCACTCACTATACGAAAATCACGCCGATTATAAGTGTAGATAGTACCGAACTACCGAAATCATTGCGAAAACGAAGCACTAGTAGCAATGGACGACAAACTACTCATTCAGCATTTTCCGTTATCTGCATATGAAGAGACAGAGATACTCTCCTAAATCTCTTCTCGATTTTTCTCCAGAGACGATAGAGCGCAGCATCCAAAGAACGCAGCAATTGCAGTCTATAAGCTGAACCGTACACTGCCATAGAAAACGTCTCATCAGAGAGCTAGTAAGTGTTCCCTCCCACAGGCGAGATTGGACGCCGTCAGACCTTCTCACAGATCTCACGTGCATCAATCCTACCATGTTATGATCTCAATGTTATGGATGTATCAAGTTACAAGTGAAACTATAAACATCACTGACCTACGACATTAACATATGGAAAATGGAACCGCAACCTCAGATGACTGGAAGGACATAGTTCAGTGTAAACAAACAATTAAAGTGTAGTGCCGAACCAAGTGATTTTCAGTGTGGTCCTCTTCGAAACTCTCACATACGCGGAGAAAATAGACTTATCTAATGGACAGTTATCACAAGTTCTTTTCGTTTGTACATCTCCTTTTTCAACTAACGATTTTTTTTTATGTTACGTTTTATTCATCATTGATGTAGGTATGATTTTTACACAATTTTATGTTTTTCATTTCATTCGATTACTTAGGTAATTCATTTGATTGACACATTATTCGATTTGATTATTGTTTTGTATCATGTATATAGGTAGTTATAGACATTTGAAGCTGTGGGGCCAGCTTCGTCAAACAGGGGAGATGTGTCAAGAAGTACAAATGTCTATGAAATAACTTTCGTTCGTTTCAAGATCTTCTATCATTAATTAACTTTTCCAAATTAAAACATTCAGTACATTGCAGTTCGATCAGGCCAGCGGAGTTCATAGACATCATTTCCTTTATAATTTGCAAAGAAATCGCTTACCGCGGCGATAATACCTAGGTAAGCGGTATCGAAAAGCTATCGACCGTTCCCCGTGTGGAAAATAGCGAACCTAGCATCGATTCCGAATATAAATAGATTCCGAATCGATAAGCCATGCATTACTATTCATTACTGATTTTTGATGATTATTGATCATCCATTTCTCGATTACTGATCATTACTGATTATTGATTATTACTATTCAATTACTGATTTTTTCATTATTATTGATTCATTATTATATACTGATTATTCATTACTGATTACTAATTCATTACTATTATAATGCATTTCGATAACACTTTACTTGATTCCGTAATTGAGTTACTTATTCACGAGTTGCTGCCAAAATGTGTACCGTCTTCCCGACTTTGATCCTGCTGGTCAACCCCATCATGTAAGTACTGTTTTTTCCATGTTCTGAATGATTGTTTCGTGTTGTGTTCCGTTTGGTTATTTTCTATGGTTTGCCTCTGCTACTTTTCCATGTGGCAGGCATTTATTCACGACTTTCCCATTTAAATCAATAAATGTTAATTATATACGAAAACTATCTTGACTCTTCATTTGGGGATGAATATGGTTGGGTGGTGAAATGATCGAAATCCTCTCATTAAGCCAAGCGAGTAGCCAAGTTACGATCCATAGGAGGTCGAACATCTGAGTTGCGACATGTGGTGGACACGCCGTTTGCCAAATAATCTACCAAAACCATCTGAGTTGCGACAATACTAAGGGACTTGAAAAGGTTTTCAATGACTCAGGTTTTGAAAGCGTTCATCATTCTGGGTCAAAATTAGGCAATATATTAGGCAATCCGAAAGATAAAGTGGACACACTTGAAAAGTCGGGAATATTCGAAATAAATTGTAATGATTGTGATGAAACATATATAGGCCAAACCAGGCGACCCATAAAAACAAGGTTCAAACAACATATAGCACATTTAAAATATGGTAGATTAGATAAATCGTGTGTAGTCGAACGGATGTTCAACCACAATCATAATACACATATTACTAACCTCAAATTAGTTAAGCAAGTTAATATTAGAAAATTAGACGCATATGAAAGCTTGGAGATATTTAAGAATAGTAATAGAGTAATGAATAAAGATAATGGACCCATTCCATTATAACCCTCTATATAGTTCACTAATATAAAAATTTAGATTACCATGTGAACTCAACCATGACAAACATTAACTTGACGGTTAGTATTTTTCACGGTTGGGTGAACAAATACCTAGTATATATGTATAAGGATATTTAGTTTTAATCTTCTCCTGAAAATGCTAACATAGTTAGCGAAACACGTGTCGAGGCGTTTAAAAAAAAAATCGGTTTGGTTAGTGGTAAAGCACTGTAGTGTATTATGGTGCCAAAGGTTCCAGTCTCCCATATAAAAGGATTCTCCCTTGGGACAAGTCGCAAATTTTGCTTTCGCTGGGCTTCGCTAGATGCTCCGCCTCGCAAATGCAAAATTCGCTTGTCAGACAGAGTGTCACTTTTGATCCTAATAAAACAATACTATTTGGCACTGAATATTGTCAAGTTGCTGCCTGGGATGTAGAAAATACTCACTTTTGCTGCCTGAACAATAACAGTGCTACTTTACTGCCTCCATGTAAACCTTGAAATAGTATATTGTGCAACAAGTAGGGAAAGTTCAACTTTTCTCACGAGTGTGAATGTTTGTGTACTTTCCCCACATGTTGCACACTATACTTTTTCTACAACTGCACTTATCCAAAGAATCTAAGTAATGTAACTTAATTTCTATCAAAAGTACTTATGAGAACTACCCTAAAGAATTTGAAAAACTTCATCTGACAGTTGTGACAACTATTCAAAGCTGAACACCAGTCAATTAAATTTTGGCCGAGTTTTCTGATTCTCCATGGAAATGTATGTGGTGTTGGCAAAGTGCCGTGAGAACAAATATTTCTCACAGTATGAGCAATACATGGTTTTGAAACTAAGTAAGCTATGAGAAATGCGCTACTTTTCATAGCAGTAGTAGAAAAAAGCAATTTCTCTACTGCTTTTAAAAAAAATACTCTAGTCTAACCTTCTTTTATGTTCAAATGAATTTTTCAGGTATGTCCCTACAATAGAATCACAATGTCATTTGTGTCAGACGCTCTTTGTGACCGTTCACGAAGTGCGGAGACATCTCATCACAAAGGAACACAAACAAAACGTTTCCGACTACTACGAGCAGTTGCAAGAGCTTAACAGATGCGAAGACCCCGTGGATTAAGAGGTTGGTTACTTGAGGAAAATATCGGTGGAGGAAATGAACATTTTTTTTCATCGACAATTTACTCACTACAAAATTTCGTTTTGATAAATTGTCTTTATCCAAGTGGTATAGTTTTTTTGTTGTGCAGTACATTATGTTGTTTTAATTTCGCTTTATGTTTTCATTGCTTTGATGTTTTTTTGACTTCCTAGAAACGCGAAATAGATTTTTAAGTTCATTGTTATATGTTGAAACACATGTAAATAGAAAATAATTTGTTGATTTAAGTATTACGGTGTGATTGTACTGATTACATTTATTTTTTTATATTTGAGATCGATGATTTGGATAGTGAATAAATCGCTATTTGAGTTGATCTAGTGTATTGATTTGAGGTGTGGAAAAACCTACTGGTCTTCAGGTGACTGTGACATATTGTCGCAATTTAAATGGAAAAATCGTGGATAAATGCTTGCCACATGGCAGTTTAGCAAAGAAAAAGAACATAATGGCTTGCCAAATGAAACACAAACGCAAAACAACACTTGAAAAAACAGTACTTACATTACAACGTCTAGCATGGGGTTGGCCAGCAGGATTGAAGTCGGGGAGACGGCGAACATTTTTTAATTGATAATAATTACTATAATGACTAGTATTGATAATAATGATGCCTTATCGACTCGGGTACTATTTATATTCGGAATCGATGCTAGGTTACCTTTCAATATTGCTTACCTAGGAATTATCGCACGGTAAGCGGTTTTTGCAAATTCTACTGGTACTGGACGTCTATGAACTCCGCTGACCTGATCCAAACTACACTGTACTGGATGTTTTGATTCGGAAAAGTTTATTTATAATTGATGATCTTGAAATGAACGCGAGTTTAAGTGATGTTATTCCATAGGCATTTGTACTTCTTGACAATATAGAGAGGAACTAACTTCTACTAGATCGGGCGGCTCGGTGGTCGAGAGCGTGAAGGCGCTGAGTTCGTATGGGGACTCCCACCGAGACATAGGTTCGAATCCTAGTTAGGCCGTGGATGTTTGTGTTTGTATGTATACCTAACCCCGCACAAGTTTCGACTTATGGGGCGTTTGGTCCCAGTGCTGGGACCAACGAGGTATGCAATTGCAAAAAAAAAGATCGAGCCATTTTTTATTGAAGGTACCGCAAGAAAAGAAAAGCAGGTTGGAAATTGCAACTTTTTTCCTTTGAATCTAGAGGGCCTGTACGTCTACTCTAGGGCATTCCTTACGGAGCCTGTATACCAATTTTGGGGGCCCTACGACAAAGTTGATTTTCAGAATGGGCTGAAAACTTGCATACATCAGGGTGTTCTTGATGTGCTGAACAGAAATATGAAGTCTGTTTTTATTTGTTTCCGAAATATCTGCGACCAAATTTGAAAAAAAATCTGAAAGTTCGCTGAAATGACGCAAAGAATATTTTCGTCGCTAAAATACGTGAATCAATTCAATTCCCTCCTAAAATTCAGTATTTTTGATGACGACGATCTCCAGACAATTGAGGTGCTAGATCGAGCCATTTTTTAATAAAGGTACTGCAAGGAAAGAAAAGCATGTTGAAAATTGCAACTTTTTTCATTTTGAAGCTACAGGGCTGTGCTTCTACTTCGCACTATAGGGCATCCCTTAAGGACCCTGTATACCAAATTTGGAAGCCCTACGACAAAGTTGATTTTTGGGTCTGAAAAAGAAACTAACTCCTTTCAGACAACTTCAGGCGTCAGAAAGCATAAACAGACAACTTGCATACAGGGTGTTCTCGATGTGCTGAAAAAGAGTCTAAAATCTGTTTGTTTCAATATCTATTGGTTTCTGAGATATCTACCATCGAAATTGGAAAACAAATCTCAAAGATAGCTGAAATGACGGCAAAGAATTATTTTCGTCGGTAAAATACGTGAATCAATTCTATTCCCTCGGAAAATTCAGTATGATAACACCAAGAAATTCATCATCCAGGGGCTTATCAATCGACATAAGTTGTTGTGACAAAGCCAGAATTTCATTCGATCACATGATCCTCCATGTTATTGAATCGTTAAAGTTTGATGGAACACAAATTCCACAACAATCGCAATCTTCAATGGAGTCCTTTGTCCTCAAATGCCTTTTCTAGTGCATTCCAGGCTTCAGAAGGAGTTTTTGATTGCATCGCATGAGGGTATGTTGACTTCTCCAAGGAAAGGATTATTTTGGACAATGCCTTTTCTGCATGACGTGCTCTTGTAGCAGCATCCACATTTTCAGGGGCATCACCAGACACCCAGTACCAAAGTCCGCCCAGTTTTAACGAGGCACTCATCTGGAATTTCCAGTCCCAATAATTGTCCCGACCTTTGAAATTTTTAGTAACACCTCAACGAACAATCAGTATTCAATTCTCGTGTGTACCAAGTTTTACGTTTGCTTCACAGCTCCTCTTTGAATTCACAATATCTTTCTCACGCTTCCTGGGCCCATAACCTGTTGATTTTATCCAGGTGACAGTTGTAGCTTAATAGTGGACACAGTAATTAAAATAGAGACTTTAAGAAATTGTATGAATTCTCGTATTTCACGGAGTTGAAATCAGATTCTAAAAGTCTGTATTCTAATAAATTACTGGATAAAATCAACACCAAGATGCTGAAATGACGGCAAAAAATTATTTTTTCGCAAGTAAAATACGTCAATCAATTCTATGCCCTTCGAAAATTGAGAAGTATTTTTGATGACGACGATCTGCAGACAATTGAGGTACTTGATCAAGCCATTTTTCATTAAAGGTACCGCAAGGGAAGAAGAGCGGATAAGAAATTGCAACTTTTTTCCTTTCAAAGCTTAACAGGGTTGTGTTTCTACTCCGCACTATAGGGGCCCAATGACAAAGTTGATTTTTGGGTCGGAAAAAAAACAACCCTTTGAACTTTTTCCAACCTATTCGAGGCGTCAGAATGGGCTGAAGACTTGTGCTGAACAAGGAATATGGAATCTGCTGATCTCCATATCTCATAGTTTTCAGGTTCAATAACTGAAGTAGTAGACAAAATAAACTAAATGACACATATATAAGGAAATGTTCAAAGAAACACAAGTTTCGTAGGAATATTCTTTATTTCAAAATGATGTAGATACATTCAATAAAAATCTATATACAATATACAAAATTAAAAACGCTAGTTGATATTATATTATCTTCATAAATAGATTGTAATTTACAATAAGTACAGTCGGCATAGCTCAGTATCTAATTTGTACATGTATATCAATTCAATAGACATCCATAATATTATGGGTGGGATTATTTCCCTGCTAGAAATTGTGAAATTCAACGCCAACGAAATTTCCGGAGGCGAAGAGTATTCATTCGGCACTCTGTATAAGAACAAAAATTCAAGCATACACAATATCAAGGCAAAACTATTTGAACAGGTTCTTTTAACACAAAACTCATAAATACCGAATTCCAATTCTTCATATACACATATTTCTCATCCAAAATACCTATTCAAAACCTATTTTACGAAAAAATAGGTATTAGAACTTTGATCGGTAATATTTCCTTTATTTTTAAAAAGTTTCATACCAAAATAAAATGCCTCACCGTTGAGGATGCCCTAAATAATATCGAAACAGCTCTCGTTGTTTTATACAGGGGGACTCAATAGTGTGTTCTCCTTCTATATTAGCCAAACCGTCAGATATATAGAAAAAATTCGAATACAAGAGTTATACGGGTTTCTTAGGAACAATCACCTAAAATTATTTTCATATCTATAGGGTGTTCGAATTCCAAGATATCGGTTGGTGATGGGTATTCTCAAATGAGACACCCTGTATATTATTACATCTTTAGATTCTCCCTTATATAAGAGCTGATTTCATCAATGTATCGCATTTGGGGACTAGCTGAAATGTTTATAGAGATATAGGGTGTTCAGAATCCTTTTTTTTTTTAGTTGAAACTATTTATCATTGGTCGAAACGGCTTACATGACCCTATCTCAACTTTTGATTCACCGTCTACTGACACTTAATTGGAACAAATACAGGGTGGTTCAAAATTCAAGATTTCTGATCACCCTGTATATATTTCAAATAAATTTCAGTAGATGTGAATCAAACGTTGAGATAGGGATATGTAAGCCGTTTCGATCAATAAGGAATAGTTCTGGCACAAAAAAACCAAATTTGAAAATTTTCGATTCTGAACACCTTATATCTCTGTAATCATTTCTGCTAGACCCCGATATCTTGGAATTCGAACATCCTATAGATTTGAAAATAATTTTAGGTGATAGCTCTCATAAAATTCTATAACTGTTGTATTCGAATTTTTTGATATACCTGGCGAGTATAGAGGTATTTCGGTAGATTAGAAAAATAAATCCAGAACAGAGCTGGGCAGATACTCTGAAAAACTACTATATTTTTGAAGGTGGAGAAGTATTTAAATAGCAAATACTGGCGTCAAATTGTTGTTTTCTGATGAGTTATGATAATTATTATCAATGCCCAGCCCTAATAAACAAACCCTCATTCTCCACGTTTCCACCTTTCAAACCCGCGAAAGTCCCTTATATACAGGGTGTTCCTTGAGTACGTATAGAAAATTCAGGAGCATGTTTCTGACGTCAAAATGAGAAGAAAAGTTTGTATAAATATATGTCCGAAAGTTATTCGTTTCTGAGATACAGAGTGTCAAAGTTGAATACATCTACACGTACTTAAGAAACACCCTGTATAGCAGCACCCAATGACCATTGTCAATCATCACGATACCACACAATTCTTGTCCTTGTCCTCCTATTAAATTCTTAATTCCACACTACATCTTTCAAGTGCGATCTGGTACTATTTATGTTTTTGCGATCTGGAACAGTCCATGATACTAAAACCTGAAACCAAGAGATAGTTCAGTAAACGAACGAAAAATAGAGGAAAAAAATCGTGTAGTCGCAAATTTTTGCAGAGTGGCAGGGGGAAGTGCCATGAACAACATACTAAAAGTCCTGACCCGTAGGGGATGAGCGCGATGGTGGGGGAGCGTTCTAAGGTCATTTTCTCAAGTTATTCTTGAATAATTCGAAAATCGCGACCTCTAACGGGAAAATATAGGTATACAAAATTGAAGTGAATAAAATTTTCAATAAAAAAGTTTCTATTCACTTGTTGTCCACAATGGATAGTTTCTGAGATACAGGGGATAAAAAAATCGAGAAGTATCAAAAATAGAGTTTAATGGTATGGAATTGGTGTTTGACTTGAATATTAACAGAAAAAATACATTACTCATTGAGAACAGACATAATTGAATGAATAAGTTCTAATTATATCAACAATCAATCATCATCTTCATCGTCATTTTCCACAGCCAGGAACGGTGCACCGTTCGTACACGTACCATGGCACATGCCGCACACCATGGAGCATGGAATTCCAGCTTTCCGACAACCACATCGTCCTCCACATCCAGTAGAACATCGGCAGAATATGCTGTTCAGTATCGCTTCAGGTGCTATTGGATCTCTGGTTGTCACTGGAATGCATATCAGTAAACTATTTTTTTTTACTTTTCGATTTTTGTTTCCCCTGTATCTCAGAAACTGTCCATTGTAGACAACAAGTGAATAGGAACTTTTTTATAGAAAATTTTAAGTAGTCCAATTCTGTATACCTCTATTTTTTCGCTAGAGGTCACGATTTTCGAATTATTCAAGAATTGATTGAGAAAATGACCTTTAAACACTCCCCCACCATCGCGCTCATCCCCTACGGGTCAGGACTTTTAGTATGTTGTTAATGACACTTCCCTTTACCACTATACAAAAATTTGCGACTACACGATTTTTTTCCTCTATTCAGCTTTTTTTAGTGTTCGTTGATTGAACTAAGAAGATTTATTAGATCACTACTTGAGGTTCGATGTTTGAACAGCTTTGCGCTTGCGCATGACGTCGCTCTGTACTAATTATTCGTGGCGGCGTGCAGCGAAACATTTTCTTATGCATACAGTATTCCAATTTTGGATGATTTTGTTATGATTGATGATGATGATGCTATGATTTATTCTTGAATTTGAAATTTAATTGAGTTTGTATACTCCTGATTTCGAAACTGTGAATCTTGTCCTAAGGTGAGTATATATCGGTCAGACAGGTCCCAGGCAACCAGATGACGTTCCAGTGACGTCTTTTTTACGTCACTTGAATGACCAAGGTGACGTCAGTAGTTGACGTCGCATTGACGTGATAATGACGTGAATAAGTCACAGCCCAATGACGTCATATTACTCACGTCGTATTGACGTCATTCACTCACCAAACTGTGACGTCCGAATGACGTCAAAATGACGATTGAATTTGGCGATGATACGTAAAAAAGATTCCTTTAACATGGAGTGATTAACACCACTAGCCTCTGATGACATTATATAATATTGATTATGCATTGCTATGCTATTCAGGAGCGCCATCCTTCAGTACGCATCTCCATCAGAATGCAATCAGTTACTCGTTTTTGTATCAAAAATTATGTAGTTTGTGTCCGCGAGATGTAAGCAAACAAAGAATAGTTTGATAGCAATGGAAAGGATGTTGGCGAATTTGGCTTCACTTTGTAGAATAATGTATATTGATGCATTCTTTGTCGACCAACAAAAATCTAAATTGTAAATTATTGAAAAATTTCCTAAATGACGAAGCTCACCAAATTGGGACGTCACACCGACGTGATTTTTAGACGTCATAGATACGTCACTGCAACGTTATAAGAGTAACGGTTTCAATATAGGTATACCTAAACAATCATTTTTATATAAACATAGCTTGTTGGTTTCCGAGATATACAGTGTGTCAAAGTTTTTTAGAAAAAAGTGTTCCTACTACTTCTCGGGTATATTAATAATTAGAATAAAACTTGCATGTTGATTCGCTTTCATGAGTCATACTTCTGTTTCACATGATAATATATAAGTATCCATGGTTTAGAAGGTCTGGGAAAAATGGACGTCGACAGGACGTCCCTGCAACGTCATGAAACTGACGTCTTCTTTCACCCATCTAAGTGACGTTCACTCGACGTCGAAACGATGACGTGATTATCACGTCATAGAAAGTACGTCATAGTGACGTCATAAATTGGTGTGTGACGTCTCTGACGAAAAATCACCAATTAGGGACGTCACAGTGACGTGATCATTCGTCATCTGGTTGCCTGGGATCGTACGTTTAATCAGCGCATTCATGAACATAAGATGAATTTTATGAAAAAGAAAACAAATTCAACATAATATGCCAACCATATATTAAAACGAACCATAGTTTTGATGATAATTTTGAAATTCTACTGGTAGAAAATAAAGGACTGAAACTCAATCATTTTGAATCATTAGAAATCATCAAACTCAAAAATTCTGATATTTTACTTAATGATCAATTAGACCTCAACAGTTCACCACTGTTGAATTTGTTGTCTTAGTAAGTAATAATATGTATTTGCTATCAACTCTCTCAAGTTAATCTGGTATACCGTATTTTAATGTAGATATTGTGCCTAATTTCCGAAAATGGAGGTTTATCGTACCTATCAACAGGTAACTAATCCTTCAGGTTGGGACAGTAGGATATATAAAAGTCAAGCAAGCCAAGGTTAGTTTAGTTCATTGTACCAGTATATCACCTGACGAAGCTACTGTGTTAGCGAAACATGTCGTGTGTTTGGGAATTTTTGTGGAAATCTTATCGTTTGTGAAGTTTTAACATTTGCCATGAATATTCATCAAGTAACGGCCGAGTCAATAGAAAAAAAAATTCATAGGATTAGTTCAAAACCTTTTGGTCAAATTCGAGACACTAATGAAACTTGAGTGTTTTAAGAGGGTTGTTAAGAGTAATGATTTCCACAGAGCTCTCTCAAAACCGAAGTGAGCTGAATGCCAAATTGTTTTATGCGATAGTTCTATCATAGTATCTCAAAGCCTTTCAATAGGATTATATGGCCATGAAGGCCAATATGCTTTTACCAGGGCATTCATAAAACGGTAGAACAAATTAGACCTATTATTTGCGCTCACATAACCTCTTTAAAATCTCATCGAAGCTATTAGGCATTTAAAATGTTACTTGGGATGGCTCTCGTGGTAATGAAGATAACCTAGCGCGTGAATAACTCACCGATGACAACAGCCCTGGCAAAACCCAACGACCTTCGCCAACCATCACGACACCACGCAATTCTTGTCCTTGTCCTCCAACGCCGCCTTATTGCCTCTGCCCCCCGTGGGCGACTTCTGGACCGACGCCTGCCGCCTTCGGGCGATGGCCAACGCGTCGTTGGGCACGTAGGAGATGCGGACGCCGCCGTACGCGCGTCGCGGCGGCAGCTGGTAGTCGAGGTCGTCGCTGGAGGAGCTCGACGAGCAGGTCGAACAGTAGCTGGCGGCGTCGTCGTCTTCTTCGACGTCGCGGTGGTGGTGGTCTCGGCTCCTGGAAGAAAAAAGATGGACGGTTCAGATAAACCCACCAAGAATACAACATTTCTGTCTGCTGCTATTTTTTTTATCTTGCTCCGTTTTCGAGATCGTATTGTCACGAGTAGAACATACGTTATATTACCCTTACAACACAGGGATGTCCTAGGTACGTCCCTTTTTTGTCCCGGGGTGCAAAGGCATGATTGGAGCATCCAGGGGATGCCCCGCAGTGGTTGTCCAGTGGACATCCCGCCCGGTACATCCCTAAGTTATCCTATTCGTGTCCCTGGAATATCTGATATCCATTCACATCAGACTCATTGAATTTCATCAAACTATTGAGTTGGATTTTCTTGAAAATGTTCGTTTTTCTTCCGGAAAATAATTGTAATGAAAATAAAGAATAAAGTCTCAGAACTTCTTAAGAAATTTTGCAAACAGAAATCGTACATGCATAATACCCCTCATTTTTGAACACCCAAGAATGACAATAATTATACCCAAATCCTAACAAAGTTCTATTTTTCAGGTTTCTGTAGTTAAGTTCTGTTTATGATTCTGTTCAGTACATAAATCTTCAGGAGGCATAATATCCAATGGAGCAAGGTGCGTGCATGAAAAACTGAAGGTCCCAGGTTCAATCCCTACTCAACCTACATTTTTTTCTTTTGTTGAAGGGATGTCCCTGGGATATCCTCGGGACGCCCTAGGGATATCCTTTCTTCGTACTTGGTACATCCATCCATTGGATGCCTTTTTTGGCCAACTTACCTATATCCAAAATCGTCTCGTTGAATTGGTACAGGGCGTTGATTTTTTTTTGAAAAAAATAATTTTGCTCATAAAAAGAGTAGGCTGAGATCGATTTCCATAATTTTTGGCATGGCATGTTCTGTGACTATAAGTCACGTTTTGAGATGTTTTTGATCATCATCAGTGACCTGCAAGTGTTTCAAACGACCATGTTGCCGTACAAATTTCGTGATAACTTTTCAGAGGTCCGACTGGAAACTTCCAGTATTTTTTTTTTCAGAAAGGTATTCCTTTCAGAAATATTTTTTGTATCGTGTTAATTTTTGATAAGTCTCGAGGTTCATTTGCAAATAAATAATTTCTGATATGATGCATCCTGCGCATTTTTGAAAATTGATCTAATTATTCGGACTGTTTAATGATCATGGCTACAATGCATTCTTATTGTAAACAAATTGATATGTTGCTGGTCCTCGTGGGCTTTACAAGAATTCTCGCGTTTCAAATTTAGTGATAACTATTCAGGACCTAAGTTGAGCACTTTAACGCCTTGTACCAACTAAACGAAACGATTTTGGATATAGGTAAGTCAGCTAAAATCAATTTATTTTTATCCCAACAGTACAGTCGAACCATGTCCCAACCAGATTATTTTTCTGAACAATGCATAAGATGCCTTGGATCAGAAATTATTTATTTGCAAATGAACCTCCAGACTAATCAAAAATTAACACGATACAAAAAATATTTCTGAAGGGAATATCTTCCTGAAAAAAAAACTGGAAATCTCCAGTCCGACCTCTGAAAAGTTATCACGAAATTTGTCCTACCCCAGGCAACCAGATGACGAATGATTACATCACTGTGACGTCCCTAATTGGTGATTTTTCGTCAGAGATGTCACACAACAATTTATGACGTCAGTATGACGTACTTCCTATGACGTAATAATCACGTGATCGTTTCGACGTCGAGTGAACGTCATGGGTAAAAGAAAACGTCAGTTTCATGAAGTTACAGGGACGTCCTGTCGACGTCCATTTTTCCCAGACCTTCTCTAAACCATGGATACTTATATATTATCATATTTTTTCTAAAAAACTTTGACACACTCTGTATCTCGGAAACCAACAAGCTATGTATATATACAAATGATTGTTTAGTTAACCCTATATTGAAACCGTTACTCTTATGACGTTGCAGTGACGTATGCTTTTCAAATTTTTGTTTGTTGACAATGAATGCATCCATATACATTATTCAACAAAGTGAAGCCAAATTCGCCAACATCCTTTTCATTGCTATCAAACTATTCTTTGTTTGCTTACATCTCGCCGACACAAACTACATAGTTTTTGATACAAATACAAGTAACTGATTGCATTCTGATGGAGATGCGTACTGAAGCGCGCTGAATAGGCGATTGAATGAACATGACACAGGAGGGACCCACCAAGCAGACTCAACAATGCATAATCAATATTATATAATGTCATCAGAGGCCAGTGGTGTTTATCACACCTATTGAAGGCATCTTCTCTACCTATCATCGCCAAATTCAATCGTCATTCTGATATCATTATGACGTCTGTCGGACGTCACAGTTTGGTGAGTGAATGACGTCAATACGACGTGAGTAATATGACATCATTGGACTGTGACTTATTCACGTCATTATCACGACGTCACGTCAACTACTGACGTCACCTTGGTCATTCAAGTGACGTGAAAAAGACTTCACTGGAACGTCATCTGGTTGCCTGGGATTAACTTTTCATCAATCAAAAATAATAGGCTTTCATCACTACAACTCTAGAACATCCTGTTCGTCACAGTGTTATGCTTGCGATATCAATTTATTGAATCTTACCTGTGCCTCGAAGAGCCGGCCGCCCCGTGGGCCCCCCTCCTCTGCTTGCCGCCCCGCCTCTCCAGCGTGTCGACGTGCTGCCTGGACCGCCCCCCAGAGTAGCTGCGACTCCTAGGAAACCTCCTCGAAGCTTCCTCCTCCTCCTCTTCGGCGAGGTCTCGCTCGTCCCTCTCGAACGCCTCGTTGTCCCCCTAAAAGGACACAGGATGTTTTTTATTCCATCAAAAATACGACCGTTGTTCTTTCTTTTGACAGGAATTCAATGTCAACAAATAATTCTCAGATGTCAGGTCGTTATACAGGGTGATTCATTAAGAATGGGTTTCTGAAGTACATAGAGTATACACAAAAATAATGAGGTTTAGACCAATATGCCTGATGAGAATGTTGCTGGTTTAGGAGATACAGGGGTGTTCTAGGGGGAGATTTAAAAATTTCCCAATAACTTTGTTAGTTCTAACAGCATGAACATGAAATCTTGTATTTTTAGGTTTTCTGACATGAGGAATATGAATTTGCAACTTATTTTGTGATTGCTCATAGAGGGCGCTAGTGGTACTCTGTTACTTCGATAATTTACATCATATCTTTCATGTCAATTCATTGATGATCAAAATAAGTGGAAAATCTGAAAGCTCGTTCAATTTCACATGAAAAATGTACTCCTCATCAAATTGTCTAAATTCAACGGTTTTTGTGATATCCGCTCTTGAAGAGATTTATGAACCAAATATAAGATTTTAATCATTTTATTTATTAAATTGGGAATTGGAGATCACTGAACTGCAGATAGTGAACACCCAAATATAAAGATTTGGCCCATTATATTGCTGGTTTAAGAGATACAGGGTGGTTAAGGAGAAGATATTTTGAACCACGTGCAGTGATCTGCCTAAAAGAATATTGATTGATTGATTGATTGTCTTTATTACCCCAAGAAATAATGTGTTGAAAGTAGGGTAATTCCATTTGAAATATCAAAGTTGAGGTTGCTAGGGGTTAGGGGGATGAACACATCAAGTATTCGTTTAATTGTAAAAAATGCTTTTCCCAAGTTTAAAAATCCACGAGGGATTTCTGGTCGATGATTCCGTTTTTTAGTTATAGTCGAGTTTTCGATGGAAGACTCTGTCCTATTGGATTCCACCAAAAATTCCACTAAACGAAATTTGAAAAACTATATGTTGATGCAATGTTGTAGCAATTACTGAAACAGACGTTCAGCAATATTGCAAAAGTAAAGTTTATCAATGTAACGTTCCAGCAATGTCACAGCAATATGTAATATTGCTGCAACGCTACATTATCAAACTTCACTTTTGCAATATTGCTGAACGTCCGTTTCAGTAATTGCATCAACATAGCTTCCAACTATGCTTATAGTGAGATATGCCTTACCTGAAAACGTACGCTCAGATTCCCCCTGCCCCCCCTCTTATTAGGCGACCCTGGTGTAGTAGAGGTTCCGGGGCTTTCGAGGGCTAGTTCGGGCATCGAAGAGGCGTGGTGTGGTGCAGAGTCGAGGTTGTTCTTCAGAAAAAATATTAACAATTCACTTTATTGTTATTGTCAGGTTATAATATACAGTGTCATTCATAAAGTCGGCATCATATGGGAAAAACTTTTATTAATGACTCATTTTGAAATTCGAGTTGGACGTTAAGTTTTGCTTCAAAAAAGATGAAAAATGGCCTACTCAAACGGGGTCACGTGACTTTCGCTACATGTCAAAAGTGACATTTTTTCAAATTATTCGCTGAAAGTAGGCTTATTTGTTCGAATATCGAAAAAGTTTACTTGAAAAAGTTGTTTCTATTTGAATATTTTATCTTTCTATTACATTTTTTAGATTTCGACATTTTCTGTAATATTAAAAAAATTGTTAATTCGATAAAACTACTTCATACCAGTAGTTTCATCATGCTACTAACTTTCAATTACTAATTATCACTAATTATCGACAAAAATATGATTTTCTTCAGAAAATGATAATCTCCCCTTCAAAATTCTGTAATGTTTGATGCAAATAACATCAAAATTCTGTTATGTTTGAATCGAGCATTTAGAAACGAAATTCATTTGAATTTATTTTTCCAGTACTGAAAATATAAGTTTAAATGAATTTTGTTTCTAAATGCTTGACGATATATCAACTTTGCATCAAACATAACAGAATTGTCTGAAGAAAATCATATTTCTGTCCATAATCAGTGATAATAAGTGATTGAAAGGAAGTAGCATGAAAAAGCTACTGGTATGAAGTAGTTACGTGGAATTAACAATTCTCCAAATATTATAGAAATTTCGAAAAATTAAAAAAAAAATCAAAATCTAAAAGTTGCAATAGAAAGATCAAATTCGAGAAGCATGTGTAAAATTGAAATAGAAACAACTTTTTCAAGTAAACTTTTTCGATATTCGAACAAATAAGCCTACTTTCAGCGATTAATTTGAAAAAATGTCACTTTTAACATGTAACGAAAGTCACGTGACCCTGATTGAGTAGGCCATTTTTCATCTTTTTTGAAGCAAAACTTAACGTCCAACTCGAATTCCAAAATAAGTCATTAATAAAAGTTTTTCCCATATGATACCGACTTTATGAATGACACTGTATGTACATACATACAAAATATTCATTCTGTATAATTCTGGATCATACTGATAAACATTATTTTGGGGTACTCATAATAAATCATTATTATTACACGTTTCATGCGTCCTTTATGCCTTGCCGATGAAAAATCAAATGAGAATTTATACGAGTCTATCGGTTTCGATATGAGGTTTATAGAATATTCACCAGATAATCAAATGAAAAAAATGGTAGCCTATAAGAAAGTGAGTAGAAAACGATAAGAAGTATAGAATCTAGAGACTTAGCCTACCTGCACCAACTTCTCCTGATCCCGCCGGCATCCCTCCTCCTCCTCCTCTCCCGTTCGCGACGGCCAATCGTCCAGACTGAGGTCGGCGAGATGGAGTGGTTCGCGGCTGCGGTCGCGCGCCGCCAGCAGCTTCTCAAGGTCGCCGGCGAGTCCGGGCGCGGCGCTCCCCCTTTCCGTTAGCAGGCGCTCGAGGTTGCGCTCCAGCAGCACCCTGTCCAGGCCGCGGCAGCTGGGCGAAGCGGCAGGCAGCCCTCTGCGAAAGGAAATTTATATTAATTCAAAATAGCTGACGCAGCAAACGTAGTTTTCTTTTATCGCTTGGAGCGCACGAAAGGAAATCCCTATAATGTTCAAAGAGCATCGTGCGTTCCTAGGGAGGATAGGGCCCAGGCAACCAGATGACGAATGATCACGTCACTGTGACGTCCCTAATTGGTGATTTTTTGTCAGAGACGTCACACACCAATTTATGACGTCACTATGACGTACTTTCTATGACGTGATAATCACGTCATCGTTTCGACGTCGAGTGAACGTCACTTAGATGTGTAAAAAAAGACGCCAGTTTCATGACGTTGCAGGGACGTCCTGTCGACGTCTATTTTTCCCAGACCTTCTCTCTAAACCATGAATACTTATATATCATCATGTGAAACAGAAGTATAACTCATGAAAGCAAATCAACATGCAAGTTTTATTCCAATTATTGATATACTTACCCGAAAAGTAGTAGAAAAACTTTTTTCTAAAAAACTTTGACACACTGTATATCTCGGAAACCAACAAGCTATGTAAATGATTGTTTAGGTATACCTATATTGAAACCGTTACTCTTATGACGTTGCAGTGACGTATCTATGACGTCTAAAAATCACGTCGGTGTGACGTACCAATTTGGTGAGCTTCGTCATTTAGGAAATTTTTCAATAATTTGCTATTTAGATTTTTGTTGGGTGTCAAAGAATGCATCAATATACATTATTCAACAAAGTGAAGCCAAATTCGCCAACATCCTTTCCATTGCTATCAAACTATTCTTTGTTTGCTTACATCTCGCTGACACAAACTACATAATTTTTGATACAAATACTAATAACTGATTGCATTCTGATGGAGATGCGTACTGAAGGATGGCGCTGCTGAATAGGCAATTGAATGAACATGACACAGAAGAGACCCACCAAGCAGATTCAACAATGCATAATCAATATTATATAATGTCATCAGAGGCTAGTCGTGTTTATCACACCATGTTGAAGAAATCTTTTTCACGCATCATCGCCAAATTCAATCGTCATTATGACGTCAGGTGGACGTCACAGTTTGGTGAGTGAATGACGTCAATATGACGTGAGTAATATGACGTCATTGGGTTGTGACTTATTCACGTCATTATCACGTCAATGCGACGTCAACTACTGACGTCACCTTGGTCATTCAAGTGACGTAAAAAAGACGTCACTGGAACGTCATCTGGTTGCCTGGGGGATAGGAGGTAGGTATTGGAATTTTTTATGAACTTGAACTTCTTGAAAATCATATTCAACGGTCGCCATTCTATTCAAAAATAACTTTTGTTTTCTTGACCTTCCACTTCGATTAGTTAATATTGAAAGCAATATTGCACCTGTCAAATATTGAAGGTTGAAATTTACTCTTCGAGAAGACGATTACACACATCATCGAATGTAATTTATTTGCCGTATTTTTTTGTGTTTCAATAAATTCTGAGAATAAACTATAACTCAAACATACCTCATGAGCGCATCTGCCCCATCCTCATGCCCCACCAACTCGTTGCCTCCCCCACCATTATCCGACAGACTGGGCGTGCTGGGCACGGACGCCCCGCCCGTCATCGGCCGCGGCGACCGCTGCAACGCCCTCCTGCCCATCTTGGGCGAGCGCGTGCCGCTCGTGGTGGGCGAGCGGGCGAGGAGGGCGGGGGGCGTGGTGGGCAGGTGGCGGGAGGCGGAGGGCGACTGGGGCGGCGGCGTGCTGCTCTCGTTGGGCGACGGGGGGCGTGGGGGGCGGGTTCTCGATTGCTGGCGGGGGATTCTGGGGGCAAAGAGAGGGGGTTATGTCGGCCCTGACCTCAATTCGAGCACAATTCGGTATGCAAAAATCTGTTGAATTCTAGCACAATTCAGTATGCAAAAATGATATGTAGGTTGAAGCACGAGTTGAAGCATTAGTGGAAATGGAGCAAGTGATTTGGAGGATCAGTTATCTACGAATACTTTTTTTATTGGTACACTTTGAAATCATAAATACTATAGTATTATCATCAACAGACGATGGAAATGACAACTAATAATGTAAAATTGTTGAATTTGTGTTGTGACCAGCGAAGAGACATTATATAATGAATAAGAAAATAGTTATTTGTTTTACTAGGCAGGAAAGTACACGATATATGATGCCGCGGTTGGCGTTTCATAGCCTAGAATGGCTTTTCAATTACACGCACAGTCCAAATAATCCATTATTCTGTGTTCAACCGAAGTCATTGTCAATTTTGATCACCAATTTGACTCAAATTACTTGGAACGTTGCATAGCAACAAACGATTTCTGCCTAGGCGGTAACAGTACACCTTTTTTGTCTGTAGAGTGTTATTAAAAAGTAACTTTTAATATCATTTGAAGAAAATAGTAGATTGTTTTAATAGGATCAAAAGTGACACTTTGTTTGACAAGCGAATTTTGCATTTGCGAGGCGGAGCGTTTAGCGAAGCCGAGCGAAAGCAAAATTTGCGATTTGAACAAAGTCACTTTTGATCCGAATGAAACATGCTATTTTTTCTGCAACCGAAACAATTAACTCAAATAAACATGTGAAGTAACCACCAATGCCGTGCCATATGTATGCAATGCAACAAATATTGACAAATAATCCATATGGTGAGAATATTCTATATTCTCAGGTTAGGTTTTCTAGGATGTTCGAATTGTAGTCTCAATTTCAATATAAATACAACCACAGAGTGACACATTTGTGTATGGACCAGGTGCTCTAATAGCAAATACCGCGCCAGTGTTATAGGAACAAGACGTGGAAAATGTTAGGTTAGTGAGCATATCAACAATGATAATAGTGATTATTTATTCCTCTCCATACTACACTGTGTTTGACTTGATAATCAAATGAAGCTAAACAATATCGTTGTTTGAGACAAAGAAACTATTGCTTGCCGTGATTATTCAAAACCAAGTTATCCATCCCGAGGATAACGAATGAAATACAGATCAAGCAAGTATTTGAATCTTGAAGGTTTCCCTGATCAAAACAAAAATACTTAACTGAGATGTTTATAATTCAAATACTAAACTATATGTGTATTTATATATCCAGCATGGGTATGAAATGCCAAATCTGCTGAAATCGGAAACAAATCAGGTATGCGTCTCAACGCAAATATCCAACCGTCACAATTTTGTTTATTCTTGATGACGTCCAGTACATCCTTTTTAGTACCTCGGAGCTAAAGTTGAACTTTAGCTCCTAGGAACTAAAATTCAACTTTAGCTCCTAGGAACTAAATATGTTGCCTAGCAACATACCTATTTTTGTGACAGTAATAGAAACGTCAATTTAAGAGCTAATTTTGGTATCAAAATGGACGAGTTTTGTGTCGGTTGCAGAAAAAATACATATATTATATATAGTATAATGTCTCTTCGCTGATGTAACATATCAAAATACCTATTGTTGTCATGGAAATGACGAGAAAATAGCTAATTTGATCATTTGTGATATTTTATTTTACGTAAGACGTAACATACACGTACTCCTTCGAAAATTTCATAGGTACCAGTCATTTCAACCCATCAGATGCTTTATTTCGACATTCTTACTATGGTAATCAGCAAATTTCAAAAGCTTTAACTACTCCGTGAAGTACCTCAGTGAGCTGGGTTGTGTGCGGTAGATTAACTATTATACCTCATAGTCTGAAATAAAGTCACTGAATGGTATTATTTAAATAACAGTTCGGACACAAAAATGAGAACTGTTATAGTTATTTAGTGTTTTTGGATGTTTAGATTTATTAAGTTACACAACTTGAAATTGTGACAACAGCATCATAAACTATTGAGAAGAAAGCATAAATGAAAATGTCCTGCTATGTAATGAATTGCAGGAATTCTGAAGGGTATGGCGATTTCATTTCTTTAATTTTCCAAAGGAAATATAAATTATTCCCTTATGAAAAGAATGTATGAAACGGGCCTGCATAGAAAATTAATTTGAAGACAGGCAAAATTTGTGAGGTGAGTACATACATTAAAATTCACTTCTTATAACAGCAGATTGGAATGAAACTATCTTTTAGGCCCATTTTCAAACAGAAGATCTATAAGATCCGTTGTTCCATTGATTTACAAAACAGACTATTAATCAAAAAAAAAAATATCATAAATACAAAACCTCGTACAAAACAATATTATATGAATTCATTGCAAAACTACACAATAAAATTGAAAATTTGAGAACTAAACTGAGGAAATCAAGTAAATTGCAACATGATATAATATCACTGAATGGCGTTTTCAATACCGACCGAATTAAAAATGTATCAGTAGAAAGTTAATGCAGCTTATGACTCGGGTACAGTTTTACATCTAATAAGAACTAGCTATGAATATATCCATATGTGTCTATTTTGTCACATTAACATGTTGATATGTGAATTCTTGTTTTCTTCATAGCAATTGTTCTGCGAGAAGTGCATCGCTATATAAATTGAAGTGGGTATCTATAACCTCTTTCCATTTTCCATCTACGACAATGATTGAGTTTTAAAAGGAGGAAGCAAAGCTCGATTTCATCTCCACAACTTTAATAATGATGTAGTCAATCAACGGGACATGTTTCGGACTTATAAAAGTCCATCTTCAGCCGTATTTTAGAAGTTACTACAAGCAAAGGCATGTGAAAATATACATATTGTTATAAAACCAAAAAATTGACTTACATGGAGATGAACATTATATGTTTTTCAAAAAGGTTGCCGATGTCTCTCATGATGATGATTGATTTGATAGAAAATCTGACCTCTTAAATCGTATCTGACAATCAGTCGCTACTAGGGAAATTTAAAAGACAAAGAGCAGTACTTATATATGTCTTAAGGTCGTGACACAATGTAGAGGAATAGAGAATAAGGAATGAAAAATAAGAAATGCAGGTCTGGTATTGATCAAATTCTAACCTCGAACGCGTTTTGAACCAATTATAGTACTATTCCTTATTCTTTTGCATTGTCTTTGGACCTTCATTATTATAGAAAATTGAAAAGGACAAAAGTTCAGCTGTGTCCTAACTCTTATTTAACGAATACCATCCAGTGACTCTATAACTTTTCAACTTCAAATTGAGACTAATCATTTTCAAAATGGGAATAAACATCTTCAAATTGAGACGGAACGATTCAGTTTGGGTTCAACACATTCAAATCGAAAATAAACAATTTTGAATTGAGATAAATCACTTTAAAAATGGGAATAACCGAATGATATTGATTTCGATTTAATAGGCATTCCGGAAAGATTCACGTGTATCAGATTCGTTTATACGAGTCGATGCAGTTGTTCTTCTCCCGAAATCTACCATTGTTGTTCATTTTATGAACTTATTGTGTGGATATGACTTTGAGCATTGTGGCTATTTAGTAGTTGAAATTGATCAGTCTCGATTTGAACTTGGAAAGGTATAGTCTGGAATACACTTCGAGGAGAATTGACTGGTTAACTTGTTGTTGACCCGGTTAGTGTGGTTATAACTTCGAAGATGAATAACTTGTGGTTGCATTCACCTGGTGTTCGGTCCGGAGCTGTCGCTGGGCGTGGGCGGCTCGCCCTTGCTGCACGCTATCGAACAGAAGATGGCGCCGCGGCGGGGCAGGAAGGGGCGGCCGAGCAGCGAGGAGCGGCACGTGCGGCAGCAGAAGCACGCGTCGGCCGCATGCCAGTGCTGACCCTCGTGCGACATCTGGCCCTGTAACGGACATATATCAAACAATTCAAATCAAATCAAAATAGGACACCCTGTATTTTATTCTATATAATTGGTTAGGGATTATCATAACGAATTCAACGATAATAATAATAATAATAATAATGTTTATTCGTATTAGCAAACAGCAGCCATCCGAAAATGGATATACACGTCAGTTATAAAAAGTATTTTAAAAAAGTATGCAGCATAGGCCAATTACAATTACAAATTAATAGTTATTTGTTTAACTAGGCAGCAAAGTAGTAGATTGACTGCCGAGGCTGAATTCATAGCCGAGCGTAGCGAGGCTAGGAATCCAGCTAAGGCAGTCAATCTACTTTGCTGCCGAGTTGAACATATAATTTTTTCTCCGATTGTTCATAATGATATAAGAGGATATTGTAATTGCAAATTATTACAATTCCCACAATCTCTTTATTTTTCCTGTAGTGTTCAATTAAAATGAAATTTGATAGAAATCGCAGTTGTCCATGATAATTATAGTTTGACAATTCATGAAAATTCTGACAGTTGTGCGAAAAAATATCGGTATATTTGAATTATTATATAATGGACAGTGATAGCGACCTGGAAGTACTTACACCTCCAGAAATAAGGGAGGTGGCAAATAATATAGAGTTGAATTTGTTGCCGGAGAAGTCTCGAAAGGAATATGAAGGAAATTATAAACGATCTATGGATCATTAATTTTGCTGATACATATCAATCAGCAAAGTACCCACTTTGCTGCCTAGGCAGGAAAAGTAATACTTTGCTGATTGATATGTGTCAGCAAAATTAATATTTGCTGCCAATCGGAGAAGAAATTCATTTCTCTGATTTCTTGAGGTAAATGATTGTAGAGTTTTATTCCCAAATAGTCCGGGGATTTTTCAGTACGAGCAGATAGATTGTGTCTAGTGATATCAAAATCATGAGCAATCCTGGTAGAATATCTATGAAAAAATGTTTTAAAAACCTTTGTGAGTTGTTTTTTACATAAAGGAGGGTATTAAATATGAGAATAGATGGTAGGGTTAGAATATTATTATATTTAAAGGCATGTCTGCATGTGTCACCATGTGGAATATTAAAAATAAGTCTCATTATTCTTTTCTGTTTGATGAATACTTTCTTCCAGTTAACAGCGTGTCCCCATAGACAGACATTGTATGAAAGATGACTATAAGCTAAAGAATAGTATACACTAATGAGTGTACTCAAATTCGATGTTTCTTTAAATTGCACAATGGCATAGAATACTGAGCTGATTTTTTTACTGATCAGATCTATATGTGTTTGTCCCAGCTCACGAACTCATCTAAATGAACACCCAGAAATTCAATTTCTGATACATAGGCCATATCAGACATGGTGATGGGTATTTTTTTGTATCTGAAGTTCATATGTTGTCTTATCAAGAGTTAGTTTGATCGAATTTTGATTGCAACAGTTCTGAAACGTGTTGATTAGACGGATTTGATAGGGTTACTTGATAGGGTTATTTCAAACGATTACGAAGATATTCGCGTTCTAACTGGGCGTCAATTGAAACATTAATAGTGAAATTTGGCATCAAGTTTGACTTCTCGTAATTTCTAAAATATTGAACGAATTTTGAATTGCCGCCCAGATACTGAATGCCTTTTTCATCGTCTTTCGAACCGTTCCTTACAGCTTCTTCTAAATTGATCAGGACCCATGATACAGGGTGAAACAAAGTTTCGTGCATTTTGAAAAAAATGTCTCTGCCCCCCCCCCCCCATTTTGTCGGAAGACCACGATGCTCATATTTTATTCGGGCATTTCATTAATAGCAACCATACCTCGGGAAGTTTTCGAGTTTTTGCCAAAAACTACTGTAGTTTCCGAAAAAAAAATTTTTCGCATTTTTCTTAAATGGACTAATTTTAGAGGAGTTCCATAAATGGATGCTTTTATGCATTTTAGGAAAGCATTGGAGCAAATACTTTCACAGTATTTGAATATATTTCAGATATTCAAATACTTCTGAAATATTTAAATACTTTTGAATATTTAAATACTCCGAAAGTATTCAAATACTTCAGATATATTTAAATACTTTGCGAAACTATTTGCATATACTAAGTAATAAATATATTCCAACATGTGTGAGTATAGATATAACTACTTGGACCAGAAAGCATTCATAAATACTCGGTATTTGAAAACCGAACAGTATTTTAATACTGAGAAGTATTTGTAGATTCAAATAATGCCCAGCTCTGCCAATTAGTGATGAATCACCTTGTATATATTTTGCAAATATATGTATACTCGTGCAATCCTGATGAATACCACCATATATGTGGTTGCAGGAAGGTTCTAAGTGAAATCAATGATTGGTGGAGTTACCTGATCGACGCCGATATGTTCGCCACAGGAGTCGCAGTACTCGGCGAAGGAGGCGTCGAAGCAGGCGAGGCAGTACGGCCTGCCGTCCCGCATGATGTACCGCTGTCCGCCCAGCTGTCGCTCGCATTCCGAGCACGCGAAGTGCTTCATGTGCCACGCGCGGCCCTCCGCTTCCGTGCACTCGTCCGCAAGGATGATCTACAAAAAGAAAAGAAATGAAGATCAAATCGTCAAAAACTGATAGTTATCTATACAAATATAATAATAATAATACTGTCTTTATTAACCAGCAGATACGAACAATGTAGACTAATTGTCAAAACAAAATACTAATTCAAATACAAAATGGTGCTGGTTAAATGGCGCAAGATCAGTTAAACTGTTCTTCCTCAAGGGCCCTTGTAATAAATTAAAGTAGTATTTGACCTCATTTCCTGGCAAGATCCCCTCTGATAATTATGATAAAAATAAGAATAATAAATAATATTATTAACAATCATAATGCATTTTTGAAATAAAAATAATATTAATAATTATATAATATATATAAATAATAATATATGGATGGATTGATGGAAATTATGAAGTTCCTAAAAATATTGATAACGAAATCAGATATATATAAATATATATACAGTGTGACCCACTTCAAATGGAACCACCCCTGTATCCCATGTAATCGTTAGGTAAGGATTCTGAAATTTGCTGGAGCGAGAGATATATAAAAAATGAACTCTATGACCAAGTGGGGTCATCTTCAGTGATATAAACTGCTCGCCAACAGCCATGGAACCACCCCAATTTCCGGAAAATGATATTAGGAGTCAAAATAGGTTGAAAATCACTTCGGATTCGGAATCAAGACGCACCCTTCACTAACTATCCATAGTTTTCCTAGGAAATTTTCAGTTCAGAAAAATTTAATTTTGTCCCATTGCTCATGAAAGCACCCCCGTATCTCACGTAATTATTGAGGTGGGATTCTGAAATTTGCAGGAGGAAGGGAAAGTCCAAAGATAAAGTCAATTACGTAAGATACGGGGGTCCTTCCGTGAAAAGTGCGACAAAATTAAATTTTTCAGAACTGAAAATTTTTCAGGAAAAATATGAATAGTTAGTGTATTGGGCGTCCTGATTCCGAATCTGAAGTGATACTCAACCTATTTTGACTCCTAATATCATTTTCCGGAAATTGCGGTGGTTCCCTGGCTGTTGGCGAGCAGTGTATATCACTGAAGATGACCCCACTTGGTCATAGAGTGCAGTTTTGGTATATCTCTCGCTCCAGCAAATTTCAGGATCCTTACCTAACGATTACATGAGATACAGGGGTGGTTCCATTTGAAGTGGGTCACACTGTATATATATTTCTATTATTTAATTTCGATTATTTCGTTTCTATAGTTAACTCGCAATTCCCTGAAACATTGTTTAAATTATCTGCTTCGGCTTCGATCATGAAAGAGCATTTCAAAAACTGTCTTTTTGAATTTTGTCAAGGACATCGTTTTGTAATCTGTTGGGAGGTTATTGTAATGGCAGGATATATTATATTGGAAGGATCTCTGAAAAAGTGATGTTCTATGTTGAGGAACTGTTAAATGTTCCCGCCTCCGGATATTGATGTTGTGTATATCCGATCGAAATCTAATTTTGTCTGTTAGGTATGAAGGAGTACCATTCTTAATGATTTTGTGAAACAGTGTAAGGCAGTGCAATCTCCGTCTGTTTGCCATATTCAACCATCGATTAGTAACCAAAGTATGGCTAACCGGATCAAATTTTCGAATTCCATAAATTAATCTTAGACAAGAATTTTGGAGTTTTTGTAATCTCGTACTATCCGCACCAGTCAGACAAGGGCCATAAACATAATCACAATAATTTACTTGTCATAGAATTAATGAGTCACATAAGGAACTTTTCAGTTTATTGGTCATTAGGTGCCTATACGGATACAATATCTTCAGTTTTGCATATGCTTTCTTGAGTATCATTGAAATATGTTTAGTAAATCTCAACTTATTGTCTATAATTACTCCAAGATTCTTATCTTCAGAGGTAATTTTCAAGGGTACATCATCAATTTTGATAGACAAGTCATTTGGAGATATGTCACCAAAGGATATAACTGACGACTTTGTTGTGTTGATTTCTAAATCATGCTTCTTCGACAAATCTATAATAGATGCCAAGTCTTTATTCATGTCATCTTGAAATTCTGCTGCATCATATTTGTTGAAGAAATTATATAATTGGGTGTCATCGGCGTACATATGAATATCTAATGTTTTCAAAGATGAATGAAAATTGCATGTATATAAATAGTATAAAGGAGTGGGCCCAGAATAGATCCTTGAGGAACACCTCTCAAAATGGTGCCTTCGTTCGATATTTTGCTCTTATATATCACTCTCTGTGACCGCCCTTCGAAATATTTTCGAAATAATTTTATAGCTGGGTTACTTAATCCTAAAAAATGGAGAATAGCGAACAGTATCTCATGATTAATCATATCGAAAGCTCTGCTAAAATCTAGCAGGATCAAGACATATAAAAAAGAAGCAAGATTTGATTGTTTGTTTGTTTGTATGTATCGATTCGGCTGAAAATTGGTGGGGAGGTAGCTTAGAGCCAGGAGAAGGTTATAGAATACTTTTTATCCCGGTACCATTAGGAAATTCAAGATGGATCTAATATAACGGACGAGTTTTGTAATTATGGTCCGATTCTATTCAAAATTGGTATCTGGGGGTTTTCGTGATCAGGGATTATGATTCCTTCGTCAAAATTGAGAAATTCAAGATGGCGGATCCGAAATGACGGATTTTGTAATTAGGATCACTATATGGCGTTCATGATTTCACATAAGTAAGTGATGAAATTACCAGGAGTCCTTTTCAATATTCTGTTGTAATTCCATCATTACCTGGAGCTTTCCTGAGTTTTCGTGCTTTGATATAGCCGATTATTTCATCCGTAGAGGCGGGCCTCATGCTGAAATCGTGAACGTCATTATTCAAATGGGCCAGGACTATTCTCTCCCATTCCTGATCATACTCCTGCGACTCATTCAACTTGAATTGTGATACAAGTGACTCAGCAAAGACTTCAGCTTTTTCGGCAGTGCTGTACTTGACTCCGTTCTCTCCTTTTAGGGGAGGTATTCTTAACTCTTTTGATCAACTTCCAAAGATTATTTTAGGACCTTCATCCAAATTTTTCCAGTGTGGTCTGCCATCTCGAGTTTCGGAAATTATCAATCTCAGTTCTCACGGTATTACGAGCTTCGTTGTATTCCAATTTATGAGGAGGATATAGAGAGTTTTCATGGCTCTTCGTTTCAATCTCTTTCTCTGATGGGATTTTTCAAGTAAATTGGTGATTCATTAGCTTTAAAACTGGTAATATTTGTTATCTGGGTGTTATTCTTCAAAGCTGTGAGAACTTTCTGTTCGAAGTCAATTACAGCACTGTCAATTTTTTGAGGGATGTTGAGTTCCTCAGGGGGGACTTCAACATCATCTAGATCTCGCATGAAGTCTATCCAGAACACCTTCCTGCGTTGAAAGATTTCATCTCTTGGAACGCGATCTCCCAGCACCAGAAAAACCGGATTGTTAAATTAAATCAGTTCGAGAATAAATAGTGCGTTGTGTTCGCTTCTGCACTCGAATGACGTAAAAATACTGTCGCAATATGATAATTTTGAGAATATTAAAGATTCGCAAAGTTTAAGCTTTTCGGATACCTAGTATAATATCACTGAGGGAAAAAATTTGTAGCCGTTACTAAAAAATTAGTAACTACAGAAAAATTTTTTAGTACGATAGGGGACAGCAAGCATTAGTTGTTGCCATAACTAATTCTGTTTTTCTGGAAACGCCTATTTGCCACAAATGAAAAGTTTAGTTGAGTCATCTACGACGATGTTGTGGTAACTAATAATCCTTTTTAAGGAATAATACCAAGTTTTATTTGCCACAATCAAGATACATAGTTATGACAATTAGATTGTTAGTACTGTTTCAATATATGTTTGTTATCACAACAAATTATCCCAGTTGGGGCAATTACTCATTTCTTCTGACGTTAATAGTGAGTGTGTTAATTGTTGCAAATTGAATATTTAATTGTGACTGAAATGGAATCTAGTTACTATTAAAAGTGATTTAGTAACTTTTGAAATATAATTTAGTTATTCTGGCAACTTAATAGTTTTATATCAATTAAAATCAGGGCCCCATTCTAATAATAACAGTTTGTATGCCATTTTCCTTCCAATTTCCAATGGAATCGTGAACAGGAATACACCACACACCGTAAGTGCCACAGGCCACAGCTCAGCAAAAAGAGAGGGAATTATAAATATACACCGTGTACACGTGACGTCGGTTGGACGTTTCTCACCGTCGCCATTCGTAAACTGAACTGAATTGTGAATAGGTACCTAAACCTGATAACTAGTGACGCACAGATAACGATGGTAAAAACTGCGAATTATTATTTTGCCAACCAAATGCCAAATGGCTCAGCGCGAAGTGCAAAAAAACACAAAACAGTGATTTGAAAACACACAGAGCAGTGAACCAGCAAGAACACGACGCTCCCGGCTACACTAGACAATTATTTTATTTATTTTGTCTAAGCTCGAAGACCGTGCGATCTATCCACTATTAAGATACAATTTCAAATGATGAAACAGACAGACAAACAGAAGAAGATGCAATTTTTGCCATTGGGTCCCGAAGAGACGCGAGACGGTCCCGAACGACGCAGTACAACTAAAATTATTAGTAATGGCTAAATAATTCGCTAAATAATCGCAAGAAAAATGGAGAGCAGAATCTTTCGATCCGTTACAAATTTGGTGTTCCTCATATTGTGAAAAACAATCAGGATAACAGATCAAAAAACTAAAAAGTCATCTGAATGTTTACTGTCATAATGTCGGTGGCCTCCGCACTAAAATTGATAATTTAAAACATGCTGTCAACATATGTATCTATGATGTGATTATTCTAGTGGAATCTTGGCTTAATGATGACATACCCAACAGTGAAATCTGTTTAAGTGATTTCAATATATACAGGTGTGATCGGAACTTACTAACTAGCTCCAAAAGTAGAGGTGGAGGTATACTTATTGCTACCCGCAAATGTTATGTGACTAGTATGATCAATATTGAGAATCATGGTGTGGAACAACTATTTGTCAGCTTGAAACATGGGTCCAACAAATACATCATTGGAAGTGTGTATATTCCTCCTAGATCCAGCCTGGATATTTATGAAAATCATATGGAAAGTGTCTTTGAAGTATGTACCTCACATCCTGATTTTGAATTGGTTATATTTGGAGACTATAACATTCCTGATGCAACTTGGTTAAGAGGTGACAGTGGACTTGAACTAATTTGCCCAGATTCATCCCCTGGAAAATATCTTTCTGACTCTTATAGTGCCTTAGGTTTAACACAGGTTAATAGTATCCCTAACAATAATTATGTATTCCTTGATCTCATTTTTTCACATATACCCACTCTTGCAATAGCCAAAGCAGATGATGTTCTAACTAATCTGAGTTACCACCATAATGCATACTGCTTCATGCTGACACTTGTTATCGAGGACACTTACCTAAAATATGATAATTTCTATCATGATTTTAAGACTTGTAATGCAATTGGTATAAACGATTATTTAGCAATGGCAGATTGGAGTGCCCTATATAATACTAGGGACATTAATACAGCAGTTCACACATTTTATGACATAATTTACAATGCAATCGACTTATATGTACCTATAAAAACATTCAAATCATCAAACTTCCCAGTGTGGTTTACACCTGAACTAAAAAATCTTATATTCAAGAAAAAGATTGCTCATAAGAAATATAAAGATAGAAACTCATTTGATTATTATCAAGAATTCTGTACACTTCGTGCACAATGTAAAACATTAAATGAACAATGTTACCTCAGTTATCTGAGTTATACAGAAAGGAATATTCAAAATGACTCTAACAGTTTTTGGAAGTATATGAATAATTTACGTAAATCTAGTTCTTACCCAAACACTATGCATCTCAATAATACTACTTGTACAAATGGCTCTGATATCATAAATCTTTTTGCTGAATATTTCTCAACTGTCTATTCTGATAAGGATAGTAATGTGCCTACATCTCAAAACAAAAATCTAGTTGACATCAATACTCTCCATTTAAGCTTAATTGAGGTTTTTGAGGGTATTCAGAGTTTGAAGAATAAGTATTCCAGTGGCCCTGATGGTATCCCTCCAGTACTATTAAAAATATGTAATTGTACATTAGCTAATCCCATTCTATATTTATTTAACTTATCTCTGGATTCTTGTAATTTTCCAGATTTCTGGAAAAACAGTTTTGTCACCCCAATTTTTAAGTCAGGGGATCGTGAATCCATCAAAAATTACCGAGGTATTTGTATACAGTCTACTTTGCCAAAACTATTAGATAAACTCGTCACTGCCAAATTAACATGGTCCTGCAAGAATATTATAATACCTCAGCAACATGGTTTTTGTTCAGGAAGATCAACGGTAACCAACTTGCTGTCTTATCAGACATTTCTGTTACATGCCTTGGAGAAGGGTGAGCAAGTTGACGCAATTTACACAGACTTCTCCAAGGCATTTGATAGAGTGGACCACAAGATACTTTTAGAGAAACTTCACTCCCTTGGCTTTGCGGATAATATTGTGAAATGGCTGCGCAGCTTCCTCACTAGCCGCTCTCAAAGAGTTAAAATCAACAATTATATATCTAACGAAATTATGGTTACTTCGGGTGTCCCTCAGGGCTCTCACTGTGGACCTTTACTCTTCAATTTATTCATAAATGATATCTCTGATGTAATCAAAAGTGCAAACTTTTTATTATTTGCTGATGACTTGAAGTTGTTTCTCGTTGTTGATGATATCCTAGACAGTCAAACTCTTCAAAACGACCTTGATAACCTTCATTTATGGTGCGTTCAAAACAGTCTTGCTTTAAATACTGATAAATGTTTTACAATATCGTTCTCCCGCTCATTTAATGCTTCCTCATATAACTACAATATTAACAATACGATCCTTGAAAAAGTAACTGAAATTAAAGATCTTGGAATCATCTTTGATGAGCGTCTCACCTTCAAGAGTCAACTACTGAAAGTATCAGCATCTGCTAATAAAATGGTAGGTTTTCTAATGCGTAATACAAAACATTTTTCTTGTAACACAGTTAATACTTTATACTGCTCTCTTGTACGTTCCTTATTAGACTATGGTTGCATAATCTGGTCGCCACATTATAACTGTGATATCACACTAATTGAACAAGTCCAAATGAGATTTGCCAAGCACATTTCTTATAAAATGGGAACTTACAACAATTTCAATTATACAGATACTCTCAATGCCCTCAACTTAACCAACCTATCTATCAGACGCTTTCGGCTCGATAGTATCACCATGTTCAAGATTATCTCAGGTGTGATTGATTGTTGCGATCTTCTCAATATGATAAACTTCAATGTTCCATCATATTTCACTAGAAACACTGATCTTTTTACTATAAAAACTCATAGAACTAATTATGGGTTCTTCAGCCCATTATCACGTATTTTGCGTAATTTCAACATATTAAACATTGATCCATTTGTCCATTCCTTAACTGATTTTAAAAATAAAATTTGTATAGTTGATCCTGGCTCGATCCACAATTAATCTATACTTTAGTGTTAATTTCTAAAGGTTGGTTAATACAGGAATTTTGTTTTGTATCCTTCAAACCAAACCATATAGTTCAAATTTGAAATTTCAATCAATATCAATGCTATATTATTGTTCTTATGCCATCTTGTCAATCTGTAATAATTAACTATTGTAATGGTGAATCCGTTTATTAAATAAATAAAAATAAAAATAAAATTTCTGCTATGGATAATAATAAACCTTTTACGATAAATGTGTCATCAGTTGTGGCAAATAGTCAGCTGTTGTTAGTAACCCCAGAATGAGGTTTTTTAACCCCAATATGGAATTTTAATTGACTGAATAGACAACACTGTGATAATTCTGTCACAAATAGTATTTTTATTGATGACAAATAATTGGCGAAAAATAGAAAAGTCATTTGTAGGAAATAAGGATACGATGTCATTGTTAATAAAATTCAAAATTTTTTTAATTATCGGTACTAAAAAAATACCAACTAGACGTTTTAATTAACCAGTGTAAAAAATCTCGAAATTTCGAATATAAATCTCGAAATTTTGAAAAAAAATCTGTGAATTTTGAGATTTCAATGAAATAAAAATGAAATAAGAGGAAGGAGGAACAACGATTCGGTTGTCCATTCTAGAGTCACTGGATGGTATTAGTTTGATAAGAGTTCGGACACAGCTGAACTTTTGTCCTTTTCTATTTTCTATAATACAATGGTTTAAGTGAATAAAAGAATAAGACATATATTCTGCTCTTTGTCTTTTCAATTTCCCTAGTAGTGCCTGATTGTCAGATACGATTTTAGAGGTTATATTTTCTGTCAAATCAATCATAGCCGTAGATGGACAATGGGTATAGGGTACAAACACGACCCACTTCTAGCAGAACAACTGTTATATAAATGAAAAGAATGCATATAACAACACTTTAATATTAGAAAATATACACATATGCATAAACTTATAGCTATAATTCCTTATTGTATGTAAAACTGTACTCCAGTGATGAGTATAATACATGAAGTTATTTATATTAAATTAGAGGTAGGTATTCTCAATATACAGGAAGTGACATAAGAACTCTCAAGTGGAGTATTCCTGAAACAATTATAAGAAATAAAGTCTATATAAGCTTTTGTGTCCGGAAATGCTTCAATTCGGAGATACAGGGTGCTGAAATACAGAGAACAAATCATTTTTCGATAAACATTTGATAGGAAAAAAGTAGTTTATTTTGACGAGACCTACCAAATACTTTTTTGTAAAGTTCTCAGCAACTCCACTTAGCGCCCTAGGAGCTAAGTAACATGGATCGTTATAGAAAATATCTCCAAAACGATGACGTCCAGCGTGATTAAGGCCCTTATAATAATTCCCTTGATACATAAATAACTATTCACTATTCACTGTTGAATTTTAAATTTGGTCGGCACCAAAAACGCCATTCAATAATATATCACTTTGTAGTTTACATGCTTTTCTTAGTTTCGTTTTCAAATTCTCAATTTCATTATGTAATTTTGCGATCATTTCCTCTTTTCCATGATTATTTTGTTTTGTATTTTGTGTGATGATGATAATGGAATTTTGTTCTCGAATTCGCCTGCTTTGTAAACTGATGTTCCAGCAGATTCTCACAAAAAGATTTTGAAATCTTCTGTTTGAAAATGGGCCTGAAATATAGTTTCAATCTAATCAGATGCTATTATAAAAAGTGAATTTTAATGAGTACCTCACAAATTTCGCTCATCTTCAAATTGATTTTACACCCAGGCCATTTCATATCTTTCTTCCATTAGCGAATGGTTGATATTTGTTTCCGAAAATTGAATAAATTATATCAATTTTTTTTAGAATTGGCACAATTTATCACACAGCAAGTAATTTCCATAGCTGCTTTCATCTCGAATGTATAATTATGAAATTTTTTTTTCAATTCTGACGTTTATAAAATGTATTGTCAAATTCAAACAATTTCGAATGAAAAAGCGCGGGACGACTATGGTGCTCTTGTCACAATGCAAGGTGTGAAACTTTATAAATCTAAAAATTCAAAAACCCTAACAGTTGTCATTTCTGTGTCCGAACTCTTATCAAACTAATAACATCAAGTGACTCTAGTCCATTCGAGTTTCTTACCTCGTCGCAGGCCGAGCACCTAGGCTTGACTGTCTCTGCATGGTGCCTGCCGCAGTACAGCCTGCCGTCCTTGTAGAAGTAGATGAGATCGACCAGCAACTCTCTGCAGACGGAGCACGCGAAGCAGGCTGGGTGCCAGCACGTGTTCGGGCCGGCTCGGCTCGCGAACACGCAGATGTCGCCAGTCGACAACGTCTCGTCGCACTGAAATCAAGCGTAAGCAAGCTTTTATAAATAGTTAGTTTCCGTCGACCTCGTATTAATGATCAATATGTCTATTAATGCACGATTGTTTTATAGGCAACCAAACATACACCGCGTGCATTCATTGTTTATGCTATAATTATCAAAGATAAATCAATTTATGCTTTTAATAGATATTTATGCAACAAGTGCAAAAAGTGACTGTTTATTGCACTCGACGTGAAATTGTCCGACGAGGCCGTTTGGCCGAGTTGGACAACATGTAGAGTGCAATAAACAATTTTTGCACGAGTTGCATACAACATTTTTTTTACGTTCATGCAAAAAGCAAAAAATGATTTATTGAGGTGCGGCACTAGGTGTAGGAAAATGAAAAACGCAACTTGAATACTTTATTATTAATATCGATTTGCATTGAAACAGGAACTGATACGTTATAGGAACAATTTCACTCAAACTTTAGTTTTACACTCAATGTTGAAAGTGAATGAACAATTGGTGCAATTTTCAATATGAATATATGACGTTTCTATAACCACAGTTGCAATATAAAAAATGTTTGTCATGATGACAGCACGTTGAAGTAGAATGACAGATGAGTGCAATAAAAACTTTATTGCACTAAGTGCAATAAAGAACTTCTTTTTCCACTAAATATAGTTCAATAAAGTTCTGCTTTCTGCATGAATGTAGAAAAAAAATATTATAGGGAATATCTATTGGGTCTCTAGTCTAAAAATCTCACTCTTTGTGCACTTTTGTAATCGTTATCAATATCAATGATTCTGTCATGTGTATTATCCTATAAATACCATGCATATTTCACACTATAGTGTGTTAATATTGTATTATATAGGTAGTTAGGTAACCATTTTCATTTTTATTTGTTATAATCTTTTATGCGAAACTGGTACTCGGTTAAGTGGAGGAGTTTTCAACTGGACTTCGCCGAGGATTATTAAAACAAAGACATTTTATCATCATTTTTATTATTATTATCACTTATGGATTTCATCGAAGATTTTCCGTTAACGGGTTCGCCTTTTCAAGTTCCTGAAACGATTTTAATCCCTGTTCTCTTAAACAAAGAATTCATTTTTTCTACTCCCGTATGTGGATTACTAACTTCACACATCGATAAAAATGTGCAAAGCTTCATTTCACGAATCGGTGTGTGAGGTGCCATGCTTTTCTTATGGGATTTAGTTCACGCACCGGTGCCATAAGAGTCAATACAAATTCACACACCGGTCGCTGGTCTAGGTAGCACTAATTTTGTAGAGAAAGACAAAGTAAATGTACATTTTGACAATTTACAAAATTGCAATATAACTGTTCATAATAATTATTATTGTAATAAAGAAAATTAGTCAAATTTTCCTTTAATTCAATCTCTAAGTAAAAGGTCGTAAAAAAAGTAAAGTGTGCACCACGTCCGTGAAGACTTTTTTACACTCGTGCGGATTGTGAAACTCGTGTGCGGCTCGTTCCACAAACTTCCACACTCGCGTGAAAAAGTATACTTCACGCACTAGATACACAATATACTATTCTATGTTGATAATTTCGACAAATATCAAATGTCACTAATGTCAGTAACAAGGCTTCTGGGTGAGTATAGTTTCCGGATGAATGATGAATTCGCGAACCAAGTTTTCTTCATTGCAGGAGAAATGAGAAATATAGTCGACGGAAAAATTTTGTAACCAACTCGTATATTGAAATTCGATTAATGATCTCGCACGTTGAAATATCTCGATCATTAATCCCCCTCATTAATACACTAGTTGGTTAAATAACTATTAAAGACCACCTTTCATAAAAATGCACTACACAAAGACACCCTATAACAGACCGACACCGGCAGACACCGCACGAAAAAAAAAAGAATTGTTGAATCGAGCAAAATTTATTCGAATATAATCTTGAAATGAGTGACTCTATATCTTGTTTCAGAGCGAATTCGAAGTTCGAATCAAGTAAATACGTCTTGCATGACCTCTTGATCACATTCAATCAATTCTCATATACATTTTTTGAAATAAATTCACCATTCACTATATTGGATGTTGGATGTGGGGGTCTCTGCAATCAGCTCAGATTCTGAAAAGCTAAAATCCACAGGGTGTTCCATTTGAGAAGATGATATCATAGCCGTGATGGCGGTAAATCAGAATCTCAATATTCAATTATTCTCGTAGTACTTAAATACTCCTAAGTATTTAAATACTTCCACAGTATTTGGATATTTCTCTCAAACAGGTCTCTCCATGTAGTGATCGACGGAGTTTCATCTGACTCTCTTATCATAAATGCTGGTGCTTCACAAGGATCACTTCTAGCACCAACACCATTTTCACACCATATCAACGATTTGTTGGAAGCAACTTCGTGTCCAGTACACAGCTTCACGGATGATAGTACCCTCCATACCGCCTTCTCTTCTAGGGCTCCAATACCAGCCAGGCAAATCAGAAACGAACGAGGAAGAAATGTTGACAACATAAATATGAACTTGGCAACAATTCTTGAATGAGGATCCAATAACTTGGTAGATTTCAATGCAAACAAAACACAATAAGCATGCCTTTTCTCATCTAGAAAAGCTGATCTCACTGTGCCCAACATAAGCTTGTCAGGAGTAACCATACCTTGTAAGACATCCATTTCGATGCTTGGTATTACAATCAGCAATAACTTTTCTTGGGAAAATCACGTGAGATCAATTGCTAAAAGTGCATCCCAAAAACTTGGTTTTCTGTTTCGGGCCAGGAGCTATTTGACTTCCACTGCTTATGATCTATAAGGCACAGATCCGACCAATTCTGTTCCATATTTGAAGTGCAGCACCGAAACATACCCTGTCCAAAAAAGGCAATTCAATCGTCTCGTGGGCGATGTCTCGCTCACAAACTCACTCACTTCTCTGGAACACCGTAAAAAAGTTGGCGATCTGGTTCTATTTTATAGATATTTTCATGGACGATACTCTTCTGACAATCTCAACAATTGTTCCTCCCTTGGCAGTCCCCGCGAGAATAACCCGTCGAGTTGAGGCTTCGCAATTCCTCGTGGTCACTTTGGAGACCTGCGAAACATCTCTTTCCAAAGATTCGTTCATTCGACGAACAGCGAGGCTCTGGAACACATGCCAAGGGAGGTAAACCACGAGGCATATAACTTCCAGAAATTTAAGAAGAACACCAATTCCTACCTCATTTCCCTTCGTGATCACGATGTTTTCTGAACATTACAGGATATTATCCCTTTTCGTGGGAACCAGAACATATGAAAAAAACTAGATATTTAGATACTTTGCGAAACTACTTGCAAATACTAAGTTATAAATATATTCCAACAAATATTTGTGAGTATAAATATAATTACTTGAGCCAGAAAGTATTTAAATACTCGGTATTTAAATACCGAAAAGTATTTGAATCCTAAAAAGTATTTGTGAACACAAATAATGCCCATCTCTGACTGAGAGCTGCAGTCCTCTTGATAAAAATATGCAAGGGTAGTAGATCAAGTATAGCTTCCATTGCTGCAGTAGGGCACGTACGCATAGCCCCTGTGATCCCAAAACACGCGAGTCTCTGGATTTTTTGTGTGCTGTTTTTCCACACTTTTGGTCCACCACACTAGAGAAGCGTATGTGACCATGGGTCTGTCCACCGTGAGGTGAGACCAGTAGAACATATTTGGTTAAAGACAACATATCCAGAGAGCTGAAATTACCCTATTGACGATTTTGGTCAAGTGTTGGTTCCACGTGAATTTCTTGTCTAAGATGACTCCTAGATATTTGACCTCTTCGGAGAAGTTGATAGGCGTTCCATCCATAATGGGTTCCTTCAAATTGATCTTCCTTCTTTTGGTGAATGGAACGATGACTGTTTTGCTCGGGTTGACATTCAAGCCCTCCTGAAAGCACCAGTCTTTCTGCATTTTGAGTACAGTCTGCATTAAGCTTGATAAATCTAATGATAAAACGGATCTGAGAACGACCAGCGAAAAAAAATGGAGATATGCCCGAATCCTCAAGGAAATCAAGAATGCTCACGCTAATCACTGACTCGATCGTCTAGAGTTCCACAAAAGTTAATCACTATGCAAATGATCTGGGATCGAATTAGAAATTCGTCCCGCTTGCTCTGCCTACCTTTAACGTCGTATTCCCATGTCGAACAATTATCATTGGAATTAAAACGAGTGCGCAATTCGCAATTTCTTTAAATGCCACTGGCGTAGGCGTGAATTCGAAGGTACCGGGTGATTCACCATAAATGTCCCCCCCTCTAGCTCACTTATTTTTGAACCGTTTTAAAAATTTGCAAGATAATCTAAATTGATTTTTTAGAAATTTTTTTCCCGTTGCATCAGAAAATACAGGGTGCTCGAAATGAACGATCTACAGAGTACTAATTGATTTTTTTGAATGGAACACCCTGTATTTTATTGTATTTTTAGATTTTTCCTGAAGAGCTGATTTCATCAATATATCACACTTGGGGTTTAGTGGGAATGATTACAGAGATATAGGGTGTTTAAAATCGAGATTTTCCAACTTTGGGATTTTTTTGTGCCGAAACTATTCATTATTGGTCAGAACGGCTTCTATGTTCCCTTCTCAACTTTTGATTTACTATCTAGTGAAATTTAATTGGAACATTTAGAGGGTGGTTCAAGATTCAGAATTCTGGTCACCCTGTATCTGTTCCAATTATTAAATGTCAATAGATAGTAAATCAAAAGTTAAGATACGGACATGAAAACCGCGTGACCGATAATGAATAGTTTCGTCAAAAAAAATCCTAAAGTTAAAAATCTCGATTTTGAACACCCTATATCTCTGTAATCAGTCCCGCTAGACCCCAAGTGTGATGCATTGATCAAATCAGCTCTTCAGGGAGAATCTAAAAATACAATGAAAAATAGGGTGTTTCATTTAAAAAAATCAAATAGTACCCTGTAGATCGTTTGTTCCGAGTACCCTG